AGGAGGAGCCATCCCCACTTCATCAGCCTAGGCTGTCTTTTGTCATCAGCTTGAAGTCCTTCTCTTGTATCAATCAGAGACTTACGTTGTCCCTGATATCAGCAAGACATGGTCTTCCTGTTTACCATCTGTTCAGGATGGTTTAGGTCCGATTGGACCCCCCAGTGGCAAAAGTATTGGCTGCAGTCTCAGAGCATCGAGACTGCACGTCCGTACCGTAGGGACATTGGCTCCTCCTCCCCACCATTTGTTGATGGGAATCACTTCTTTATTTTTGGACAATCCCATCATTTCCTTATGATTCTTTGTCACACTTTCATAAAAGGTTTTAGCCATAATTGAAATTTCTTCATAAAACTTTATTGTCTCCTGCTGAGTTATTTTGTACCAAATTAATATATTAAAAATTACTGAATGTATTTCTAATATTCCAGTTTCCCAATACCTAAAAACTCCAAAAAAGTCAATTATTAATAAAATTTATCAATCCCAGAATTATTCCTCCATGTTCCTTAGCTTTCTAGTCCTTAAAAACTATAAATTTATATTTTATAGTTTTTTATAGTTTCCAGTTTACACCTTCCAGCTGTCCAAATTTTAAAGTCTTATTTGTCTTTTCTTCTCCCCTCCCTTTTCTATCACCTTTCTTCTTTTGCCTCGTAGGATGAACTATTAAATGATGTTAGTGAACCAAATCCAGTTTGGCCCACCAGTTTTCTTCAAATCTTTCAAATCCACCTTTCAATGAACAATTCAATAAAGTTATGGTATTTATACTTCAGTTTGCTTTAAGAAACTTCAAACACCTCAGTAGATATTTCCAAGCCTCCAAATCACCTACTAAGATAAAGTCAAGGTCAAATAGCCATCCAGGTGTTGTTTGCTCTCTCTCCTTTCATCACTGTCACTCAAATTTCCCATATTGCAGTGATCTTCTTCCAGTAGATGGCTCCCCTGCTCCCCAATTCCAATATTCAACAGAGTGTAAAAGTCAAAACAGCTGACTGTCAACCATTCATGCGGGTTAAAGATAGAGTTTAGCAAAGCAATTTCTTCCAATAATCACTTCTCACAATGTTGTTCAATTTTTTTTCAGGCTTTCTGTGTTTTAAAACATCTCTTTAATTTTTAGGCTTTAATCCTTCTCCATAAATGCAATTGCCACTTTCTTATTGGAGATTGCTTTTTTTATATCTTTTAACTTGGGTTAAATCTTTGGGGTAAAAGTTGGAAGTTATCTCACCCCGTTTCACTGCTCTGTCCACGCAACCTTCCAGCACAAGATCTTAGTGTCCTGGTTGTCCCAGTTTGTGACAGACCAAAACGGTCATCATTCAGGAAAGCTTTCTTCAGATCAATGAGGAAATTGTGGTTTCCTCATGATCAATGAAGCACCTCTCCTTTCTTACCACTCCACCAGGGTGGATTGACCCTCTAGGATCTCCTGGCAGTTGCTGGCTGCATTTCACAGAGCCTGGGGAAGCTCTGCTATTTTCCAGCTGTTCCTGCTGCGACGTCAACTGGAAGACACATTTAGGGAATTTTCCTTATGGTCTCTCAATGAATCTGGCTAATCTTTGCCAAAGTAATTGATACTATAATCCCCAAGTGTCCTATTCCTTCTAGCAGAACTAAACCAGAACTTGGGAACTGAGAGCAATGAAGCATATAAAAGACTGGTGCTCACATGGATATTTGAACCAAACAGAGAATGAAGCCTTATGTGACGAATCAGAATAGCAATTTGCTTGCTCACATGTTTGGTTGAATGTAGTTCAATAAACATTTTTTAAAAAAAGCCTTCTTACCATCCATGAAAAGCACTATTAACTATGGTGGGTTATAAATTCTGGTCAAGGTGATTGAAAACATGATGAACTTATACTTCCAAATTCATGTGCATTAAACGAATTATCTGTACTAAATTTAATTTTGTATTTCATTTGGAATCGGATGATGGTGCTGTTTTGGTGGCCTTGGAAGATGACTTAACACTGGAAATTAGATGGGCAGATTCTGACTGTGTTAGTTCTCTGGGGTCCCACTGGGTTTTAATCCACTGAATGTGGGTAGTCCTTGGGACAGTGTTTTGTAAATAATATATATCCATACCTCCCACCCTCCTCAAAAAAAAGTATGGCTAAAATATTATAAACACTTTTTAGGAATAATCTCACTGATTTAAATGGATACACATTTGCGAAGTCATCATATATTATGATATAATGGTTATAATCTAAGATGTTTGCAAGTATGACCTATAAATCTAAGTAAATATGGGAACTGCCATATAGCTAATCTGTTTACCTGAAATTAGTTTCTGTTAGCTACTCAGGGAAAATAAGTTTCTGTCTGTTCAATTGAAGGGGTCACCTAGACAATAGTTTGACATTGGCTGAGAAGACCACTGGATAATAATCATATTACCAGTATGCAAAATAGGACCTATATAAAATGCAAACTCTTCCTTTTAAGGCTCGGCACCAGAGGAGGTATTCAGGAGGTTCTGACCAGTTCAGGAGAACCGGTAGCAGAAATTTTGAGTAGTTTGGAGAACCGGTAAATACCACCTCTGACTCCACCCCCATATATTCTCTGCCTCCCAAGTCCCAGATGATTGGGAGGAAATGGGAATTTTACAGTATCTTTCCCCTGGAGTGTGGTGGGAATGGAGAGTTTACAGTATCCTTATCCTACCACGCCCACCAAGCTATGCCACACCCACCAAGCCATGCCACGCCCATCATGCCACGTCCACAGAACCGGTAGTACAAAATGTTGAATCCCACCACTGCTTGGCACCTACAGGTATATTTCCAATCCATTCAGTCTTATGTCTGAGAGTCCCAAGGGAGTGGGCGGCATACAAATTTTATTAAAGTTCAAAGTTCAAAGTTATTATTTTATGATCATGTCTGCACCATCTAAAGTATAGATCAACCAATATTCATTTCTCAGGCAGCACTAACAGGGTATATGATTGGATAATCAAGTACAAAGAGACTATTTATAGCTGACGGTACTAAACTTCATAAAAACTGCAACAAAGTTGTTGCCCACATTATCCAATTTTCTGAAAGAAGTTTTGAATTAAATTACATTTTTATTAAAGTTTACAAAGACAAAGAGAAAAAACTAATACCAATTAAAAACAAAATAAAAATTAAAGAAAAAGAAGTGAAAAAAGATACAAAAAAGAAATAAAAATTAAGAAAATATATATAAAAGCTGATTCCCATGTCCCTCCAGATATTGCCATGCTGGCAGTTGCACCCATTCAGTTCTGATCAGGTGCAGAGATGTAGAGACAAAGGATGACCTTGGTTTCTAGAAAGGAATTTTATTTTGGCAACATAGCATTTTACTCTGTACCATCCCACCTCCCATTTTCCCACAATAGAAAA